TGGGTCGCCCCCCGCCCCGGGGGGGGGGGGGGTCCTGACGTCACGGCCCGCGGGGTGACGTCAGCGCAGAGGGCGGCTCGCGAGGAAGCCGCTTTAATGGGAAACGGGAGCGCGGGGGCCGCGTCCCCTAATCCCGGTGTTGCTCCAGGACACGCAGAGCCGGAGGGCTGGAGCGGCGCGGGGGCTGCGCCGCCCGCTCGCGTCACGCGCGGCTCAGTTCGTTCAGCGTCCGATGCAGCTCCAGACTTGCTTCTTTCGCCCGAGCCAGTTTTTCTAGAAAGAAAAAAGAAAGATTCAAACACCCACTTTACTGCCCTTTAAACACAAACCCTGCCCACTTACCTCACCAAAACAGTGCAATTACGACCCAGAGACTGGGGCCAGACAGCTATTCACGGTGTCTGGATGTGCCCATGTGAGCTGTGACAGACCCGTACTGGGCTTTAATGTCTCATTTTGGGGACTTTCCCCTATCCTGAGAACGTCAAAGCAGGACGGAGCAGAGCTGGCGGGGGGCCGCATGGCGCTGGGGACACCGAACCCGGGGCCTCAACCGGACAACCCCATCCGGTCCCGGCCCTTGCGGTGCTGGTGCTGACCGAGCTGGTTGGTGCCAACCAGGGCACGGCCGGGCGGTCGCTCCCACCTCGTCCTGCAGCACCGTCACTGCAGGGCCTGGCCCCGGCACACAGCGCTGAGCGTCCCCACAGCACCATCAGCCATGTGTTTTGTGTGAATCAGGAGGAAAAAGACAGGAAGCCAAAGGGCAGAGGTTTCTCATTTTTATTGAAAGCGGTTCCTACAGAGAAAAGTGAAGAACTGCAGCTAGACATTGCGCAGAGGCGGCAGGACTTAGAGGGAAGAAAAGCTCGAGAAGGGCAGTGAGTCCCGGCCCGGCGGCGCGTTACAAAGAGGTCATGTCATTGAGCGCGTGGTCCAGCTCCTCGCTGATCGCCTTGTACTTGAGCTTCTGAGCGTAGAGCTCATCTGCCAGCGCCCAGGCAACATTCAGAGAAACAGCCCAGAGAAAGGGCAGAGAGCAGAGGACACGGAGAGCCAGAGCGCGGCAAACCAAGCAATTGGGAGGGAAATAAAAGAAGAAAACACATGTGCAGTCAAACATCAGCGTGAAAGCAAGGAAACAGACAAGGTCAGAAGCTTCATCTATGTCTCTCCCCAACTCCAATATTTGTTTTTCAGTGATCAAATACCATTATGATTTTTTTTTTCAACAGAAAAGCCCCTTTTGAGTACGCACACTGGTGAGTTGGCTAGAAAAAAGTTATTGGTAGCAACTTTCCTAAAGGGACCGTCTTTGAAGAAAATTCCCTTGTCAGGAAGTACCAGGCTGGGCAGCATTGGGCAGCGCTCATCAGTTGCCTCACACTGGTCTAACTAGAGACCTGATGGGTATTTTTGTGCTTTCCCAATAAAATGTAATACCTACTTCTGGAACTTTGCTTTCTGAATTGAAATTTAAAACCTGTAAGATCAGGACCCCCAAGAGTAATTTCATACCTTCCAGGTCATCAATGGACTTCTCCAGTTTTGCAACTGTTCTTTCTGCAAATTCAGCACGTGTTTCAGCCTGAAAGAAAAATAATTTAAAATTAAAAGAATTTTAAATAAATAGAATAAACAGATGCTGTTAACAAAATGCTGTGCAGTTTTGGGATGGATGATCTTACTTCTTTAAGCTTGTCAGACAGAAGCTTGATTTCTTCTTCGTATTTATCTTCTTTTTCCGAGTACTGTGAAAACAATAATCAGACTCTTTAAGGGAAGTTGTAGCAGCAGTAATGCTCATGAAAAAAAACAACTATTAATAACCACTTTTCCATTTATGCTGCCTGCAAACACCCTTTCCCATACGTTCCTCCCCTTTGCCAAGACTTCTCAAGCTGATTCATTTACTGTCATTTTAAGACTGAGGCTGACAAAACATTATCAACAGCTGCTGTTACACAAGCAAAGGAACTTCTTTTCTGTTTGTTTTGTTTTGTAATTTTAATGACATGTTTTGGCTTCCCCCACCATTCCTTAGCTGACTGAGAGAACCAACCTTTTCAGATTGGGCTTCCAGTGACTTCAGGTTGTTAGTGACGTTCTTTAATTCCTCTTCCAGGTCACTACATTTACTACAGGAGAAAAAAAAAGTACAAATTACCACCATCCCTGTAGAACTTTATTGTATACTGCCCACATATGGGCTCTAAACTAAGCCCATATATGTGAAACTACTCACACTTCTGACACCTCCGCACGCTCTTCAGCTCTTTCCAGTTCACCCTCCAAAATAACCAGTTTACGGGCAACCTGGAAAGAAAAAATGGCTGCATGGAGCCAGCTGGGAACTGAGTGTGTGTCTCCCTCAAAGCACTATGAGGGACTACAAGCTCCCCTTCCCTTCTGCTCACCTAAACTAGGATAAAACACCCAGCGCTGCGCACACAAGGCAGGGCTTTCCCCCCAAAGCGGGCAGACGTCGCACTGTCCTCAGCGTTACGCATTACAGACACTGCCGCTGTCACTGTTAGAATTGCTCTTTTTGGAAATAATCCAAAGTCAAACTGTCATGTGGCAGAAAGCAGACCAAGAACTGAACTCAACAGTAACAAAGTTGTTCGTAGCCCTCATATATGTCTCATCATTTCCTTACTGAGGGATTCATTTTACCTCTTCGTACTTGCGGTCGGCCTCTTCAGCGATATGCTTAGCCTCCTTCAGTTGCATCTCCTGAATCTCCATTTTTTCTTCATCTTTCATTGCTCTGTTCTCAATAACCTTCATTCCTCTATAGAAATCAAAGCAAAGCATGTTTAACACAGAAGCTTTTTATCACTTTATCTCAAAGGCCTTAAGTGGACTTCACTGCTGGTAACTAGAAAGCAACCCCATTATGACCAATCCAAATGATCACGCTCTGCCAGGGTACCTTGGCCTTGTGTGTTTTAATCGTGTGTTTTAAACTAGTTAAAAAGGCAGCTCTAGTTCTGAGTCACTGACCTGCAGTACGTATTTGCACATGTAAAGACTGAATTACATGGGGAAATTTGTTTAATTTATATTCACCTTCATTTCTTATCAACCCTGTCCCCACGCCCCGAGAAGGGAAGCAAACCTCTCGCTCTCATCGGCTGCCTTTTCAGCCTCCTCCAGTTTCTGCAGGGCTGTAGCCAGTCGTTCCTGGGAACGATCCAGCTCCTCTTCCACGAGCTGGATACGTCTGTTCAGAGCTGCCACCTCCCCTTCGGCCTGCAAGGAATAATCATGAGATCTGAGGTTACACAGGAGACCATTCCCGCCGACAAAAACTCACATTCACCAATTTCCTGGAAATTGCAAGTCTCCTTGCCATATGCAAGGAAACTCGCACCTTTCTCCTCTAGGCTCTTTTTTAAAAAAACTGAGGCATTTCAGGAATTTGAAGGTACAGAATATGTGCTTCTCATTCTGTTTTAATGATACTTCTTATCACTCCTGCCTTACCGCAAGAAATTAAATATTGATTCAAAAAGGTGAAGTATCTTCAAATCGCTTTTGAATTTTGCAGATAGCTCTAGCCTTGTAAAGTTTAAAAATGAACTGTTTCCATAATGGCTTATTCCAAAAAAAACCCACAATTGCTTTTTACGCTCTTGGTTCTATTACAGCTTGCAGTAATACACTATCACAACACAGGGTTGGAATTAAGGCCATTTCATTATTCATGACTACAAGGGACTCTCCGGCGCGCGGACCCTTGCCCATGTGCCGCGCGGGACAGCGTTTCCCGGCGGGGAGGGACGGGGGCACCGGGAATGCACGGGGCAGGGGAGGGGGGTGTGCACGTACGTCGGTCGCCTTCTTTTCAGCCTGCTCCAGTTTCTCCTGGGCATCTTTGAGCGCCTCCGAGTACTTGTCCAGTTCATCTTCGGTTCCTTTCAACTTCTTCTGCAGGGCGACCAGCTCATCCTCCACCTTTCAAGAGAAAAAGACAACAGGAGCAATTGGACATGGTGTGGTTACTCTGCTTACAGATGAGCATGGCTAAAATCTCGCTTTACTATTAGCTTTAATCTGATTTAACCAACAAAAGAGATAAAAGGTCTGATAAAAGATCAGACCAATATTTGAAGAGGGCCTGACCATGACTGACAGATTGTGCCAGGGATAGATCATTAAAAACGTCTCATCCTTAGAATAATGCTCCCTGCTACTGCACACACAGAATCTGCTTTAATACAGGACTTGTTATAGCCCCTTTTTCATCTCATTTCTCTTTGGACTCCATGTGCAGCTCATTCTACTCATTTGGACTCTGCAGCAGCTCATTCTACAACAAAATCAAAAAGGTTTTAAAATTATATCCTTTTTGCTTGTTTTAAGCCTAGCACCTGCTAAGTTACTAGGAAACCATTCAATTCCTGTATTGTTAAGAAAAACAAGAACCGTGGTCATCCCCTCATCACCTTTTCTCCGTCATTCCCAACGCTTCAAACCAAACGTAAGCCTCCAAAGGCAGCTGCCTGCTGCAGATGCTGCTGGGCTGGACGACCTCCAAAGCCCCTTCCAACCTCAACTATTCTGTGTTTCTAATTGTGGTTCAGCAAGGTTTGCTCCATCCTACCGTGAGGGGCACACGCCACCATGCCATATAAATCCATACTGTCTGCTATAGAAAGGCGCTATTTATATCCTGCTGGGAGACTGTTTAATGACAAAGTGTCTCGTGCTCCCTGAAGAATTTGCATTATCAGGAGGCAAACTGCTGATAAGGGGTGTGCCTGCGAGCCCATCTGCTCCGGCGCTTCATTTGCAACACAAAACAGTTCGGGCTGTACAGAAACTGATTTAAGCCTTTAGTTTTGCCTTTATGTAAGTGTAGGCTATCAAAACAGTTCACTTAAAATAGGTTGTGCTTTACTGCATTTAATTTCTTCATTCTAGCTTCTAAGAGAGCTTGAACAACCTTTTTAGTAGCAGGCTATTCTTGAACGCCGCTCTGCTGCTCCACTTCTCCGGGTAACCACTCAGTGTGACAGAACTGAGCACGCTTACTTAGATGCTTTAACAAGGGGACAGTAAGCAGGAGGAAGGAGGCGACGCGTCCTTGGTGTGTGACATTAAAATCACTACTTGAGTACTGTGCCTACATTAAAGCTTGAAAAGCTGGAGACAATTCAAAAAAGAGGAATAAACCCAAAGATTTTCTTTCTCTTTTGTTACCTACATTAGGGTAGCTCACAATAAGAAGTGGAAAAGAGAAAGAAAATCTTGTCTAGAAAATTCCTTTGTGTCATTTGTTCTACCAGTCCATAGGGGATCACAATGGATGACTAAACGCAGTGGAAGGTTAAGCATTTAATCACCATTAACTTCACTGTGTAACAAACTGTTGTGGGTGTTATGTCACTGAGTGCAGAAAGATGAGCTGGGGACAGTGTCCGATGGGGACCCTGAGGCTGCTGAAGCCACAGGTTTTGCACTTGGAGATGTGTGCGGGCAGTAAGAAGCAGGAGAGACAAGACTTGCTTATCTTGGGGTAAAATGGTAAAACAGCAGCAGCTGAGCTGTTAGGAAACTTTTCTTCCTGCTGTTTTAGCTGCATGGATGGTCATTGACTTATACCATGCAAGGATCTCAAATTGAACAGAAAACAGTATTTGGAGACCTGAGCGTTAAGAGTATGTAAGAGCAGTCTGGAAGATGTAATGGAAGCTATAGTATATACACAAAATAGTATATATATATATATACACACACACAAAGTACTCAAATATGAAACAGATATTCAGAATTAAAAATACACAAAAGCAGAAAAAGATGTAAATTTTATCAGGACAGGTCAGTTAAAATAAGATCTTCCGACTATTCCAAACATGAAGTATTACAACGTATCTAACCTCAGGTCAAGCTGGCAGCTCTAACACTGGCACTCCACATACCAGGGCTAGGCCTAAATTCAAGAGGTCCAATATTTTTTTAGATGTAGCTGAGGCTTCAGGAATTATTAACATATCTATAGATATGACAGCCTTGATTTTTAATCCATAAGGTCTTTTTTTCCATGCAATTACAAGCACAAGGTAATTAATACAATTACGTAAGCGGATAGCGCTAATTTTTCAAGGCCTCAGATGGCAGCGAAAATCAGTTAATACTCAGTCTTGGTTGTACAGGTGTAACATCATGAAAGTCAAAAGACTTCAAAAGAGGATTAGCAGAAAACCTGAGTTATTCTTTCTGAATCAGAAATTTGCAAGAGCATTATGTTACACTTGCTTTCACATCATATATGCAATCACTTTTTTTTTTTTTTAAT